ATGGAGCTATTCAAATGATCTATTTCATACTGGGCGAGTTGTGATATTTGTGGGGTTTTTTTAGGAATTAGTCCATTGGTTGTCATGTTTACTTGTGTAGAGGTGTTTATGATATTCTTACTTACCTTTTGAGGTCTGCATGTTCTGTCTTGTTATCCTTTGTTTCATTCCTAATATTAGTAGTTTGAGTCTTCCCTCTCTTTTCCTTTGGCATTTTTGCTAGAGGTTTGTCAATTTCATTGCTCTTTTCTAAGAAGCAGCTCTTTGTTTCATTGATTTCCTTTATTTTTCTGCTTTCAATTTCATTGATTTCTGCTCTAATATTTGTTATCTTTATTATCCTCTTTCTGCTTGTTTAAGATTTAGTTTGTTCTTTTTTTCTAGGTTTTTGAGGTGGGAACTTATTGATTTGAGAATTTTCCTCTTTTCTAATATATGCATTTAGCGTTATATATTTCCTTCCTAGCACTAGTTTAGTTGGTATCTCACAAATTTTGATGTTTTATTTTCACTTTCATTCAGTTTAATGTTTTCAAAAATTCCTGCTGAGATTCCTCTTTGACTCATAGATTTATTTTACAAATGTGTTGAGTTTACAAAGGTTGGGAAAATTTCCTGTTATCGTTCTCTGTTGATTTTTAGTTTGGTTACATTATGGTTGGAGAACATACTCTATATGATTTCAATTCTATTAAATTTGTTGAAGTTTGTTTTATGGCCCAGAGATGGTCTATCTTAGTACATTTTCCATGGGTACTTGAAAATAATGTGTATTTGCTGTTGTTGGGTGAAGTGTTTTATAAATGTCAGTTAGGTCTTGTTGGTTGATGCTGTTGTTGAGTTATTTTATATGCTTGCTGATTATCTGTCTAGTTATTGTATCAGTTGTTGAGAGAGGTGTGTTGATGTCTCTAACTATAATTGTAGATTTGTCTGTCCTTGCACTTCTGTCAGTTTTTGCTTCACATATTATGTGGCTCTGTTGTTTAGTACATACACATTTAGGACTGCTATGTCTTCTTGGTGGAGTAACCCTTTTATCATTATATAATGTTCTTCTCAGTGTTGGTAATTTTCTTTGTTCAAAAGTCTACCTTATCTGATATTTATATAGCTACTCTTGCTTTTTTTTTTTTACATCGAATCAAAAAGTTAGTGTTTGCATAATATATTTTTTCCATTCTTTTACTTTCAACCTGCCTATATCGTCGCATCTGAAATAAATTTCTTCTAGACAGTATATAGTTGAGTCATGTTTTAAAAATCCACTCTGCCAATGTTTGGCTTTTAGTTGGCATATTTAGACCACCTAGATTTAGTATAATTATTGATATATTAAGGTTTAAATCTGCCATTTTAGTTTGTGTTTTATATTTGTTCATTTTCTTTCTTTGTTTTTGTCACCTGCTTTCTGTGTATTTCTTGGACTTTTTTAGAATTCCATTTTGATGTATCTACAGGGCGTTTGCGTGTATCTCTTTGTATAGCTATTTTAGTGGTTGTTCTATGTATTATATTATACATATATAACTTATTAACTGTGTCCTCATTTTATTGACTTGAGTGAAGAATAGAAAACTTATCTCCCTTTATATTTCTTTTCCCTCTTCTGCTTGTAATTGCCTCAAATGTTTCCTGTATATACATTCAGAATCACATCAGATAACATTATAATTTGTGCTTTAACTGTGAAATATAACTTAGAAAACTCAAGAGAAGGAAAGTCTATTGTTCTTACTCATATTTTTGTTTACTTGTTCCAAGATCCCTTGCTTAATCATTTCCTTTCTGTTTAAAGAATTTCTTCTAGCTATTTATCAGGGAAGTTCTGAGGGTGATAAATTTTCTTAGCTATCCTTCATCTGAGAATGTCTTTTTTTTTCTGAAGAAGAAGATTAGCCCTCAGCTAACATTCATTGCCAATCCTCCTCCTTTTGCTAAGGAAGATTGGCCCTGAGCTAACATCTGTGCCCATCGTTCTCTATTTGATATGTGGAACTCCTGCCACAGCATGGCTTGATAAGCAGTGTGCAAGTCCACACCCAGGATCCAAACCAGCGAACCCCAGCCGCCGAAGCAGGGCACGCAAACTTAACTGTTGTGCCACTTGGCCAGCCGCTGAGAATGTCTTTATTTCCCCTTCAGTACTGAAGGATATATTGGCTGGATATAGGATTTGGGTTTGGCATTCCTTTTCTTTCAGCACTTTTGTGCCATTTCTTTCTGGTCTCTATGGTTTCTAATGAGAAAACCACTGTCATTCAAATTAATTTTCCCCATAAGTAACATGTCATTGCTCTCTTGCTGTTTTCAAGAATTTTTTAAATTTTTAGTTTTCAAAAGTTTGATTATGATGTGTCTTAATGTAGATTTCTTCAGATTTATCCTATTTGGGGTTTACTCATTTTCTTGAATGTTTGTCTTTTGCCAAATTTGGAGAGCTTTTAGCTATTATTTGTTCAAGTCCTTTTCCTTTGCTACTCTCTTTTTCCTCTTCTTCTGTGACTCTGAGAACATGAAGGCTAAATTTTTAAACGTAGTCTGTCAGGTTGCTGAGGCTCTTTTTTCAGTCTACTTTCTCTCTGTCTTTTAAGTTGGGTAATTTCTATTGTTTTCTCTTGCAGTTCACTATTGTTTCCTTTGTCCTCTCCATTTTTTTTTTTTTTTAGCTCATCCAGTTTTTAATTTTAGTTATTATATTTTTTACTTCTAAAATTTCTACTTGCTGATTCTTTGTATCTTCTGTTTCTTTCCTTAGATTCTTCAGTTTTTTATTTTGTTCAAGTGTGTTTGTAATTGCGTGTTGAAGCATTTTCATCATCATGGCTGCTTTAAAGTCTTTGTCAGATAATTCTAACATCCTGTTATCTTGGCATCTATTGATTGTATTTTTGCATTCAGTTTGAGTTTTTCCTGTTTCTTGTTATGAATGAATTTTGGTTGGAACCTGGATATTTTCATATTATCTTAGGAGACTCTGGATCTTATTTAAATCTTCTGTTTTTAGCTGGCTTTCACTGATAGTGCTTCAGCAGGGGAATTGGGAGACACTGCCTGTCTATTGACAGGTCGAGGTGGAAATCTAGGTTTCCCAGTCATCCTTCTTTGAAACCTGAGTTGGGAGATTTTTGTTACTCCAGAGGGAGGGTGGGAGTTCTGGCTCCCCACATGGTGTCCACTGACTTCCTGGTAGGGATAGCCTCATCACTACTGGATGGAGACAAATGTCTCAGTTCCCTTCTTGGCCTGTCTGATACCCTCTAGTGGAGGATGCGGGGATTGAGGCATATCATTACAGGCTGGTGAGGGTGGAAGTCTAGGCTTCCTGCTTAGTCTTTACTATTGTGGGTGGGACTGGGGCCACAATTTTTTCTGTGATATTTGTCTGGAGCATAGTGATTATTGATTAAAAGCTTTCTGTCTTGCTAGGCTGCCCCTTTCCTTGTCCACTGGTTACAGAAAGCAGGCTTGTTTGGGGGCATTTGCTGTCTGCAGCCCTTGGCACTTCCAGGTTGTCACTTCCTTTAGCTCCGAATTTGGAATATATGAGGCAAAAAGGAAACCCAGTGACCTGATCACTATTTTGTTCCTTGGATCCTGAGGTCCCTAGCTATTTTGTCTTCTCTCCATCTTTCAGAGTCTTCTTATATTTGTTTTATATATAATGTCCAGGGTTTTAGTTGTACTTAGGAAGTGGAATAGGGAAAAGTACATCTACTCTATTGTCTCAGAAGTGGAAGTTTTCCTCCTTCCATATAAAAAAATTATTCTTTTAGGTGTTTTAATTGACTCCATAATGTTGCTAACGTCTGCCTCCTCAAGATTGCTCCTATGTGTATTTTACCCCATTGATCTGTAAGTGATTTTTGTTCTCTAGCATGTGTTCCCATTTTCATCTGTATTTTTCTTGGCCAGATTTGCAATCAATCACTTTTCCAAAGATCACTGTCTACTATTCATGGATAATTTCTGAGTACTAACTATGCTCATTGCTACTGGGGGATCATTGTGTTAAAAACCACCTAAAATTCAGCTGAGCAAATTTGAGGATATAATTGGCTTTATTCAATGATTCATGAATTGGACAGCATCCCCTCTAGCAAATAGAAAGGAGCACCAAAGAGCTACAGAAAGAGGTTTCTAATGGCAGGGACGGGGGTGAGACAAGGAAGTCATAAACAGAAAAAAGGATTGTTTCAGACAAGGTCCCCTTCCTTCGGAGGACTAAAGAGTCAATTTAATTTGGTAGATTATTTCACTGGTGCTGACCACAAATTCCATACTGACTGGTTAAGATTACATTCCTAGAGAAGGTTGAAACTGTAATTAGATTAGGTATTAGCTCTTAGTTTGGTGACAAGGGCTTAGCACAAGTAAGTCCATTTTGGGTCTGTTTCTTTTAAACAATTGCATCTAGGCTCTTTGAGTGGCCAGAGCTAGGAAATACATTGTTAAAAAAAAAAATTGTGAGAAGAATATAATACTTTACATATAAAATTTTAATCTTGATTTCATATTTGAAATATATTTAGTGTAATGTGTGAACTGGTATATAAGCTCATTTAATTTCAAGTGTCTCTTTGTCCAATATGATTAATTGAATACTCAATTCTTTTCCTGCTAATCCATGTAATAAATTCTTAAATATTCTTGTCTTTGGTGCTAATTCCAAACTTAAAAAAAGTATAACAATATAATACTTTTAATACATATTAAGCATTACCGTTTTTTTAAACAGTAATTTTTGTTTTTTCCTCTTAGAGTAACATTATGGTGTTCTGTTGAGTAAGACAATACAAAATAAAAAGCAAAACAGGCACAGAAAGTTGTTGATATTCTGTTTGGAATATTGTTAAAGATTGAATTTTCTTTCTGGGAAAGTAATAGAAATCTCTACCTGTTCAAATCTTTTAAATATACACCACAAAATGTCATTTTCTTTATAGGTTTTCTTCTTTTATTAATTCGAATAAGTATTTTGTACAATTTTTGATGCTATTGTGAATGGAACTTTACTTCTCCTATCTTTGGGAAAAAATAATTGGTGATATTTTACAAGAAAATGTTTTCTGCAAGGATGGTGGTAAAATTATGCATATGTGATCACATTTCTGCAAACTACCAGAAGGTTGTGCATATAATGGTTAGGCACATAAATCTCAGGGAGCGAGAGGTGAAGCTGTGTCCGTTGTTTCTTCTGGTTTGTGTGTATTTTCTAATTTTCCTAAAATTTTCGTATAGTACTGTAATTACTGTAACTCTTGAAGGCTAGTCTTGTAAAAAGTATGATAATGAAACATTCATCATTATTTTCCTATCCTGGGAGAAGCTGAGTCCGGGGTCTTTCATTCCCAACGTCTGTCTCTACTTGCCAGCTCGTCTCGCAAATCTGCGCTTGAGGAGGCGCGGTCGCGGCGCGGGTCTCCAGTGGAGTCCGCCGTCTCCCCGCGTCGGCCCTGCGCCGCAGGGGCTGATGGGAAGTTGCGCGCGCGGCGCCCCCGCCCCTCAGGCGCCTGTGCGCCGGGAGGCCGGCTCCTTACTTCCTGGCTGTGCCGGGGCGGTGGTCGTGGTTTGTTCGGGTCTGGCTGTGGAGGTGCGCCCCAGAGCGGGCCGTGAGGGCTGCGAGGGTGCGTGGAGTGCGGTCGAGGGCCCGGTGCGGGTCAGGGGCTGCTCTGGGCCGGGGCGCGGGGGGAGCAGGCCGCCTGCGGAGAGAGCGCAGCCCGACGCCTTGCCCCTGCGGCCCCGGGCCAGCGCGCCCGGTGACCGCTCCCTGCGGGAGACCCGGCTCTTGCCCGGCTTCTCTGCGCGCCGAACGACAGCATTTGCGCAGCGTTGAGCCCGGTCTGTGGTTAACAACTAAGCAGCTGTTTTCTTGTGGTATCTCGTTGGATTTTCACAACCATCTGTTTTAGCAAATAAAACAGGTTTGAAGGGAATGATTTACCCAAGGTCACCTAGCCAGTAGACAGGGGAGTTGGATTGAAGGTCAATTTGTTCCAGATCTCCTGTTGCTGCTAATAGGACACTGCCCGAAGCCAGCGTTGGGTCCTTCACAGCCCCTGAGTGGCACAGGTAGCTTCCTAGCGACTTTGAGGAGCCTTGTATTCAGAGTCCGTAATTGAGAGTATGGGCTCCTCCCAGCCTTCCCAGAGTGTACGCCCGGTGGTCCTGCTTTGAGCCTATAGGGGGTCTACCCTGGGGAGCAACCGCCTAGAGAGTCAAATTCGGGGCCCTATATGAAGATTCCAACTAAATGATTTTGTCCTCTTGGCCCGAGTTCCATTTCCCTTGGAGCAAAGCAGTTCGGGGGAGATAAAGAGGGAAGGAATTGCACGAACTAGAAATCCACCCGGAAGAAAACACCCCTGAGACCTCTCACCAGCGCTCAGAGCAAAAGTGGAAGAGACCCCCAAAGGAAAAGATTCTAGATTTCCAAGGCCAGAAGCAGTTTTTGATCCCCTTGCCCTAAATAAGCATGTGTTCAGATGTCACATCTGAACGTATCACAGCTTTGTGACTGTGGAAGGTCAGGACCAGAGACGTGTGCTGTCTTGAGCGGTGAGTGAGGGGCAGGCTGCGCAGGAAATGCCGCTTCTCTGTGGGTGCTTAGCTTGGGGGCAGGATCACCACAGCTGAGAAAGTTTTATTTAGCTCTTCAACCAGCCCACATTTCTTTTGTTCTCCACTCCCATTTTCCAGATCCTGACCTTGTATATGAGGTGCGTCCATATATTTAGTATCCAGATATTTTTATTCTCTTACTCTGAACTTAGAAGCACATGATGGTAGTGCAGGAGGGGTTTACAAGGTTTATTTCTGCCTCGTTTGAAAGATAAAACATGTGGAGCCTGAGAGGGTAAATGAATTGTTGTGGGTCACTCCTTTGTTACTGATCAAGACATGAGAGTTTCTTGATTCCGAAGATGTCTCCTCTGCACAGTGAAAACAAGTTTCTTATCAAAAAGTTATGAAATGGCAGTCAAGTTAGGACAGATATTTTTTTAAAACTCCTATGAAAGCACTCATTCTCTTTTTCAGAGTTTCTGTGAGTTGTTCAATTTCAACAATATTTCCAGTATTACGTTAGTAGGAAAACAGATAACCAACCTTGTCTCAGTATTTCCAGCCACATCAGTTTAAAGAAAACAGTGTTTCTATATAAGCATCCTGTAATGTATAAATTGGTTGTGATGAGGATTTTAGGCTGGTTAATTTTAAAACTGCAGATGAGAAGCAGGCTCGAGGAGCGAGGAGCGGAGTTGCTTGCCCTTTGTTGGGAAACATTTACATTTGTAAGGGAAACCTCCATCTGTAAAGATGCCTCCCTCTCTGTGCCAGGAAGAAGGTGGGATGGCCTTATCTCTGGAAACTCTTAATGGGGAAGGCAAGGACTTAAGTTGTTCACTGTCTGGCAACCTCATGTAACTGACACCCCTCCCCCCCCCCCAAATCCTCTTTTGTCTTTAGCTGAGGATAATATTTAAGCGGTGACTTCTGCCATTTACTCAATCCAGTTTGATTCTTATCTAAAAGTTGTGGGACCGCCCAATGGCTGGACCATACCGGCACTGATACCATTTTAACTTTTTTTTACATATTCTTTCCTTTGTCTTGCAGAGATAACTCACATACCTATGCCTTAAATTTAGCCTTACTCTCCACCCATGTTTGCAGCAGAAGCGGCAGCAGCAGCTCCCCATGCAAGCAGTACCTCCTCCTGCCCGTCGGTCCTGTCCCCATGCAGCAGCTCTGACTGCCCATGGGTCCTGTCCCCATGCTATTCCATACTATTCTCTAAATAAAAGAGTGCCACTGCCAGATCTTGAGAGTCCAAGAAATCTTTCTTTCGACTCCTCGGCTCACCAACCCCGCATCAGTTGTATTTTAAGTATTTTTGTGCTTCAGCCAGAGAGAGACATAAATTATTAATAAAATCCATGGCAGGCATATGTTTACTTTCACCCAGTGAAAAATTGCTTGTCTAAGCTCAACATGACCTGGTCGTTGATATGTCTCCATATTGTTCAAACTCCCGCCTCTGTCGAGTGTGTTAGGGTGGATCCAGGAACTGCAAGGCAGGCCAGATTCTCCTGACTTCCTTCCTGCTTCCTTCTTCCCCAGCTCTACCTTTACACTTCTCCATACTTTTCCAAAACCAGCAGAGAATGAACAGATCCCAGGTGAGTTTGTTATTCTTAAGTTTATTTATAATACCTTGTATAAGGTTTTTAAGGGTTAGTAGATTAGCGTGGAAATATAGAAATAGGTACAAATCAACATGGAAAATATATAGTAGTAGATCAATGACAGGATGGCGTGTAATATATAGATATGTACAAGTTTTATGATCTTACAGAGTTAACAAAGTTGAGCTGCAAATTTGTTACTGATCTTTCCAATAGTCATGGTAAAATGCAGACCTCTGTTATATGATTTACATTTTCCGTAAAGAGAAACCATATTGCTTGTTAATGGGGCATGAAGACTTCCCAGCATTGAAGTCTAAAACAGTTCCTTTCTTGTTCTCTGTGTGGATGATGAAGTGTACAACTTCCAATAACTTCCCTGAAAGAAATGCAGCCTCTTTCGTTGGGCTGTTCTTCAGTGGGAGCAGAAGACTCTAGAGCTAAGGGAGAGCTCGGTGAATATAGGTTTTCAGACAACCAAAATATCGTGGTCCAGTATTGTATGCTGTCCAGTACATTAACCACTAGCCATATGTGGACATTTAGTTTAAGATAATTGAAATGTAGTTCCTAAGTCACATATCAACGTTTTAAGTGCTTAGTTGTCACATGTGACTAGTGGCTACCAAATTGGACAGCACTACCCTAGAACACTTCGTGATGTTCCTGCTTGATCCAGAGATAAAACAGAGAGTATTTGGAGGAAGGAATCAAATGTACCTCCTTTACTGATTATTTCAGGAAATAATTTTTTTCATTAGGCTGTGTTTACCAGGTAGCATAGACTGTTCCGAGTTATACTCTGTGGCATTCTTGTCCATAATTATATTTCACATTTCAGACCATTCTTGCTTCTTCCTTTCCTCTTGCCTTAATCTCTTGGTAAAGGTCACAGTGACCTAAATATAATCAAATTATGGCTCTTTGTCTGGTGTCTACTGCCTCACCGACACTGTTGACCATTCTCTCCTGAGAGTCTCCTGTTGTTTTCTCTGACATCACCCCACTGGCTTGTGCCTTTGTCTGGATGTTCTATTTTGTGGTATTTTCATCATCTTTTTGCCCTTAAAAATTTTATCCTTAGGTGCCTATCCTGGTCCCTCTGCTTCTGGTTACTCTTGTCCCTCACAGATTCCATCCTCTCTGTGCTTATATGTGGGGAACACCTGTGGGACTCCAGGTCTGTCTTTCCAGCGCTCCTTGGTGCTGGTCCCCTGTGTGTAACTTGTCCAAAAGCATCTCAACATAACAGATCCAAAATGAAAGTACTCATGTTTCTTTATTCTCTGTCTAATGTTAACACTGCTTATCCAGTCATCCAAATGGTAAAAAGCAGATACTAAACCACTCCCTATCTCAGTTCTCCTGTCCATCTAGTTAGTCATCCCGTTCTTCTTTTAAATTCTTAGTATTTCTTTAACCTGTCTTTTCTCACTCATCCTTGTAGCCCAGCATAGCTTCATTTTCTCTTCTTTGTACTAGTCTGTATCATCTGTTTTCTAGCATATCAAGTTTGTTTTCAGTACTTTGTCTAATATGTTCATTGGTTAATGTTTCTCCCACTTCATTGGCTTCCAGCAGTCGGCAGGGTTGAGTCCAAGATCCTGAGACCTGCAAGCCTGCTGCTGACACAGTGACTTTCTATTTCCGTCATTAAATACCTCCTGTGGCTGGGCTGCTGTTTACCAGTGAATCACTGAGCAACTGTGATATGTTACCGTTCTCCTGTGGATTGCCTTGTTTATGTATTTGCCCATTTTTTTCTATCCTTTATAATCTTGTAAGAATCCTTTATGTAATTTCGATAGTAATCCTTTTTCTCTATTTATGTTGCAAACACCTTTCCCCTCTATGTCCCTTGTTTTTAACACGGGAATTTCTTCGGTAATAATAAAATTTTAAATTGTCATGTACTCAATGGAGTTTTTTTTATGTGTTTAAAAATACCATTTGCCTCTGACAAGATTGCTATGAAGAATCCTTAACATACTAAACATAGTTATTTTAAATTCTCTGTATGATAATGCCAACATCTATGTCATAGCTAAATCTGGTTCTGATTCCTTTTTCTTCAGTGTATTTTTTTTGTTGCTTATTGGTAGACCTTGTAGTTTTTTGTTGAAAGGTGGAGAAGTATCTGGTAAAGGGAACTGAGGTAAATAAAGAATATAGGTAAATAGGCCTTTAGTGTGAGGACTTATGTTATTCCGGCTAGGAGATGGGCTGTGTTTAACGTTTGTTGTAGCTGTAGGTTCCAGAGACTTCAGTTTCCTCTGGTGTCCTTATTTTTGTTTCCTCTCTTGACTTTGAGATTCTTTAAGAACTCTGCCTCAGTGAGAGCCTGTGTCTTGCAGCTCATTTAGCTGGTACTCATGTTGGTGTGGTGGTAAAGTGTGGAGGAGGGAAATATTCTATAATCTCTTGATCAAATCTCAGTCTAC